ATATTTTATATTTTCATACTTCATGTCATGATGAATCACCACTAAGTGGAGTTTCATAGACTGAACATCTGGGAACCCTTACAGCTGGGACTRTAAGCTAAATGAACACAGATACTCAGCAGGTCTCTTATTTCTGTGTCATTTTTTCCATATCACATGAGAAATCTTTACTCATCTGTCAAGGTGTCAGTTTTTTTTTTCACCATCGTTGTGGTTAAACTCCAAACTTCAGTAGGAAMATAAATAAATATRTATAAATTGCATWTGTTTTCTCTTGTCTTGTATATTTCTTAGCCCCATGGCAAATACCAGAGTGATGAGTTTGTGTCTGGGTTATTGTTTGTCAGAATATTTAATTTTTTCTTTGTTTTGGAATTCTGTCARTCACAAAACCCTTATTGTCCTGTTTCATTTCCTTTGGTAAGAAAGTAGTTTCCAAAGTTCTTCGGTTTCTGGTGAGGTTGAAAAATAAAAGATCAAGACTTCAAATACGTGTAGATCCATAAGAGAAGTGCAAAGTGGTGAGACATGCCATGAACACTGAAAGATCATGTAACATTCTGAGCCTTATAGCAGAATATATCATGAACCAATCAACAGATTTAAATGGAACAGTCAGAAAGCAATGCATGTCCATCTACGTCAAGTCAATTCAAGATGTCCACCACAAAACACTAAATTTACCATAACGCAATCATAAATTTTCATTATCATTGCCACACTTAATGAAACGTTAATGAAACTTTCAGTAATTATAGGATGTTCAGTTTGATTCAAAATGGAAACTACAAACATTAAAGCTTAGGAAACTGAAAAATGTTTCCAGCTTTRACAGTTTTACTGGCCTAACTTAACCTAAAATTTGGTGTGGTATACCAGCCRACAGCCTTCTCAAATAAATACTTGGAGCACTAAAATCTCACAATATTACATGAGACTATGTTACAAACAAAAATGGCTGTTCTGTTTAACCCTCAATGTACCACCCGCGGTACAAGTTTGTAGTTACTGTTTATAGCCTGACCCATGCTACCTGGGACTTTGAATTTGCACAAGCCGTTCAAACAATTCAATTGGTTGTCTTCTTTCGATTGACACCTCTTCTGACCAACTGGGTTCATCTGTAGACTCTCCAGAGCACAAAAGCCCCTCATGTACGTGATACACGTAATTGATTGACTAGAATCATCCAATCAGCTCCGAGCTTTATTCTCAGACTACAGCTGTGCAGCCAATCAAGTTACTTTTAGTTCAATATACAGTTTGGAAATGAAAAAAAAAGTAATAATGGTTATAGTGTATTTTAAATTCAATAATCAAAAATTCATACGGCTGAAGTTAAAAAATCAGATGAATAGATTTACATAGGCTTGTGAATTTACTCCAAAGGGTTCAAGAGCATTATTTAGTTTAATTTAAGTTAGAGTTAGACCTGCAGGTTAACAGGTTAAAACACCATGAGTCAGCAGACAATATACACTCCTTCAAGGAAAGCTAAAGTCTTTCATTTTGAGAATATATAGATCTCTACGTTCTGCTTTGTTTCTTCTCAACACATTTACTTTCATCCAGTCAAAGCCCAAACAGGAAACAGTACACTTAGTGAAGGAAACACTTGCAATTTAATGCAATTKTGTGATAATAGAGATGTTAAAAAATTTAACACAACGCTAAACACGAAGATAAACACAAGTGATATCTAAGAATGATTATTGTTGTTAGYARATCTTGTTCTGACTTTAATCATTCTGTCTGCAGATGAACAGCATGTCAGGAAAAYCTAGGTCATTAAAGGATGTCATGAATCACCTGCTTAAACATAAAGTGTTAGTTCTACCACAAAAAGTATTTTGTTCACTCTAGGACAGCATTGTTGTCCTTGAACAGCTGTATCAATTTGCTGGTTGTACCTGCAGGAGGAGTTATTTTATTATTATTTTTTTTTTCACATTTGCTGATGACTGAGGTGTTCTGTGTCTGCTGCAGATTTGAAACTTTTATTTTTTTAGGATTGATTCCCGGCTAGCTTTAAGCACAAACGTGCCTCCGAGGAAGATCAGTGATGCAGGTCTGCCAAACATTCATCATAATGTTCTGTTCTGCTTCAATAAACTGGTAAAAATGCATTAATCTTCAAACACGTCTCATTTATTTTCCACAGCCTTATGTTTAATGGAGACTCACCTTTTTTATTTGTTTGGGTTGGTTGTTTTGTTTCTCAGGCGTTACTCATTTTATACAAATGAACCAAAGTTACACGCTTTATGGGATATCCTCTCCTCTCATTTTTTCCGTGCATTCCCCCGCAGTATTTTTTTCCTTTGGCAACGTGCACATAAAATTTAAACCTTTCCTGCCTCCGCTTTACAAATCCTCAAGCTTCCTGGCACCTGAATCGTTTGACTGGTGGGTGTGTTGGCATCAGCCCCAGGAAAGCATTGAGCTATTAGAAGGTATTGCAAACAACTGCTTTGTATTAGACAAACTTTTCGCCTCTGTTTGTTTAGTCAAGCAGCCCACGTGGATTAGTCGGCACTAATGTAAAAGATCACCCAAGGCAGGGAGAAGAAAAGGTAAATGACATTTGACTTATTGTTGTTTTGAAATGTTTGATTGATTTAGTGACACACAGCAAATGTCTTTGAAAAGCTCACTTCCGCCAACACCAGAAAAATAACATTAAGCTGCCTAATCTTCACGATACTGTTTCTACCTGCAGAATCCTCTTCAACACACTATTATTCCGGTGATTAAATCTATTTTTTTCCCCCGWTTTTGGTCATAACACCTCAGCTTCCGGCCTACCAGGTGTAAACCCAATTTTTTTTTACATTAGTCAAGCTATTATTACTAATCTTTTCATGTTTTTGCAAAAGGCGGGTCCATTACTTAACAAAATGTGTTTTGTAAACTACTCAAAGCAAGTTTTTGCTCTACTAATGGCTCTGAGCTGAGACAACTTAAATTTACATGTTTTTACTGGTTTTGAGAGGGGCTTGTCAGTGACCTGACCRTTGARCCAGTAGGTGGCAGTAATGCACCTTTAAGTTGTTTGCCAACACGAAGAAGAAGAAGTAAACTAGCAGCRCGAAATGCTTGTTATTGGTTGCATGGCTGCTGACTGCATTGTTTCTGTTGCATTACAATGATTCCTGGCCATGATTTTTGTTTGGTAGTTCAGCTGTGTTAGTTTGATCAGTTTGTTTCTTTTTTTTCTAACCGCCTCATTTGATTGGTGCAGAGCCTGTGAGGGATCATGGGTAATTTTTTTTCCCATTCCCTCACAAAATTATATATTATCTTGACATTTTGTAAAAGCAGCACACATGACAGCCTAAACTRACTTATTCTTGTTCKGTCATTATCCAAGGCGATCTGTTTTTAATTCAGTAATTTTATTCACYAATGACATGCTTGAAAACTGTTAGTAAGAGTGCATTTGCTGTAGAATAGCTGATGACTCTGGTTCCTCCCTGTTTATTGCTTTAGGTTAATGATTTATGTCAGGGGTCCCCAAACATTTTCCTGTAAGGGCCACATAACTYTCCCCTTCTCTGGTGGGGGGCCGAAGTCAGTTTGTAACAGAAAAAGTGTGACTATTGCAGGAGTGCCTAAATGTAAAAATTAATTGTTTTCCAGAAAGCACAATCAAATAACCCTCTCTGGGTTCTTCACAGTATGTATTCTGCTGAGCTAACAGTCC